TAAACAGCCTTAAAAATACAAATTACCACTCACTATTAGAGAAAACAGTATGTCATATACCTACCCGTAACAAAGTATTTTCCTTAGTTCATATTCGGTACAGATCTCTAACAAAAGGAATAATAGATAAAAAGTTGGGACTTTGAAAAAAAATGTCTTTACTTAGATAGCCGATATCCATATTATAAATATAGGTATACATACATCCATTTTATAAATATAGGTAAATTAAAAAAAATATGAAAGAAATAAATGTGAATTTTATTCTGGGACATTTAGACCAATAAGAATAATTATAATGAACTGAAAAGTGACATTTGTCTGGCATTAGGAGACAATCAAGAAATAATTAGTAGCATGATTATCTAACTTTGAAATTAAAAATAGAAAAACACATTAAATTGTAGATAAATATACACGAATATGTTCACATATTTGTACAATTAGGCAATGTAGATAATATACCTAGGTACGGATACTAGTAGAATGACAGCTCTTAAATATGAAAATTTTATTTTTACATACGTTCGGTAGATTGATTGCTGAGGAGGTGGAAGAATAACTGGTGTTTATGAATGTTCGTTTCAACAAAGTTCATAATAAAATATTCTATAATTTTATTATACTTACACGGCAGAGAAATGATGAAAGTCGATAAAAAATATATCTCGGTTTCGTTTTTAATTTGGGTATTTGGCGAGGTCTTCATTAATTCACTTTGCAGATAATCATTCACACATATATCAATTAGCGAAAAAAAATTATACTCAATTTACGGTAAGATTACATCATGTGAAATACCAATTTCTGCATGTAACCGTTGTTAATATTTTAGATCATGCCCAACCGTCTCCCCGACAACGCTACTGTAACTGCTTCATGATCGAAACCGTATCCATTTTTACTTAGACGTAATTCTGTATAATGTAATATGCTAAGGGATGGGTGGAGGTGCCATTGTATATTTAAAGCCCAAGTTAGATTCCTTAGGACACTTGGATGCCGTCTGCATCGAAGTCTGGTTCGAATTAATGATGATAATTGATAAAGGGATTGTGAACCTCTTCTATGCCGAGTGCGTAAATATATTTCGGTTTTGAAAATATAAGTCAGTATCGTTTAGTGATGTCGGAAGTAGAAATACAATATTTAATATGGTTTTAATTTTTTTTTTAATTTTGTATTTCAAAGTATACGTTAACTCTGACATATTAGTAAATAAAAAACTCATATATTATCTCCTTGATTTGCATTTGTAGATATCATTCTTTGTGATTAGTGTTGCCCAAATGCGAGACCGTGGCGAGTCTTGGTCTTGCAAACTCAGTCTTGGTCTAGGTCTTGGTCTTGCGCAAAACTCGTTACAGTCTTGCAATTAAATATTAGCTTATTACCAGAGAGATATTACTGTATTTTTTTAGATAGGAGAAACCTAACTAAGTGTGAATGACAGATTAGAAGAGTTAAATGCAAAAGTATATTGATCACACCAATTCTTTACATATAGTAACTAAAATTGTCAAGTATTAGTAACTATTTTGCCTACATTTTTATTCAAAAAATCTTTTTTTTTTTTCCAATCTTGGTTTTGGTCTTGCAACAAATAGGCGGTGTTGATCTTGGTCTTGCAAATTGCAAGTCCAAGACCGATTTTGGGTAACACTATTTGTGATAAATTTATCCAAAAGAGGATTGAGGCTACCCTGATAGATTTAATTTTTTTATTATTTTTTGTCATATTGTTATAATTATTTATTTTAGCATCATTTCGCATATTCAAACCTGTCAGTACTACTGTATTTTCACGTGGTTGCTATGAATAGTATGTCAGTGATAGTCTTGAGGGGAAATATATTGACATCTCTATCTATCTTGAGTTTATTATTTGTGATTAATTAAAAGAGATCTCTCGTTCAGCTTCTTTTAAACATCTTATTAATGTTATCGGGCGTATTAATTTTGATCATGCTTTGAATCTGCGAGTTTCTATGTTCGTGTAAATTATTGGGAAATCTTTTATAGTATGTTTGTATGTATTCGTAAAGTGTTGGAATGATGACAGGTCTTTTTATAACATTATATAAGCAATGGTTTTGGCATATAATTTTTAACAATGAACCTTTGTAATCGACTAAGAAAAAAAAATTGATGCGACGTGTAGTTTTACTATACTAATTATTTTTTTTAAATTTCTGCCCGATTTACCATTTACCATTTACCTCAGTCCTTGTACCTAGTCCTCCGATCCTACCTCTCTGACCGCTCCTTTCGAGTTCGCTGTGGAACAGAATTTTCCAATATCTACTCCGTTAAAGCCGGTGTTCCCCAAGGCAGCGTCTTGGGTCCCGTGCTTTACATCCTCTTTACTGCTGACATCCCTGTTCATCCCGATACTTTTCTTGCAACATTCGCTGACGACACCGCAATCTTATCATCCAACTCTGATCCCGAAATAGCATCCTTAAATCTCCAAAGTCACCTCACCTTGATTGAGCACTGGTGTAATAACTGGCGCATTAAAGTTAATGAATCTAAATGCCAACATATTACCTTTACACTCCGACGCAATTCCTGTCCACCAGTACTCTTTAATTCCATCCAGCTTCCTTATTCAGACACAGTCCGGTATCTTGGCTTTCATTTAGACCAGAAGACTAACTTGGAACCCGCATACTAGACTCAAAAGACAAGAACTCAACCGACGATACGGCCAACTATACCGACTACTAAGCAGAAAATCTAAACTTTCCATTGAAAACAAGCTACTGATCTACAAGACAATACTGAAACCTATTTGGACTTACGGACTAGAACTGTGGGGATCAGCAAAATTTTCTAACATCAAGCGCATCCAATCCTTCCAGTCTAAAGTCCTTCGAACAATAGTCGATGCTCCTTTCTATGTATCCAACAAAACCCTACATCATGACCTTAACATCCCATTTGTCCTAGACCTTATCCCAGAAAAATTCTCCAAATTTCACCAGAACCTTACTTACCACCCAAATCCTCTTGCACAATCCCTATCAAGCATCTCCCATCCCTATAATCCTCCAAGAAGGTTGAAACGGCAGTGGCCTCGCGACCTTTTGTAGATTATATAAATTGGAGTTCTGGCAATGGCCAGATTCTTCACTCAAGACATGTGTGTATGTGGCTAAAGTGCTCTCGACCAATCTCCGCTGGCTTTAGTACCAGTGACGCGGTTGGGAGAGTAGCGCAGGGTTCTCCTGGAGTTCCCTCGCCTGATTGTATATAGGTATGCATGTGTTTTTTTTTTTTTTTTTTTCCTTAGTTTTAATTTTCTTATTTTTTAGGTTATTTTATTTTATTGTCTATTGTATATACTTTTGATTATTATTTTGTTCTATTTATTTTATTTTTTTGTACATATGGTGTGAATGTCATCCTACCTCACTATAACCAATGTCCAACAGACAGATTGTTATAATACTCAATAAAGAAATTTAAAAAAAAAAAAAATTTCTGCCCGAGCAGAGTTAGGAAATATAAATCTATTATAACTCAACTTACTAAACTAAAGCTATTAAAGGTTATTAACATATATTTTTCCAATCCGTAAACACAACTCATAAAAGTGCAACTAAGCGGCATAAACTTTCAAAAGTACAATTTCCAGAACGATAATTCGATGTTGAAAATACAAAAAAAAGTATAGATATTAATAATAAAAATAATTTAAAGCTTAACAATAATTTAAAGTTTTCATTGACAGTATTTTCTATGATATGATTTAGAATAAAATAAATTTTCGTCACTCTTCATTATGTTATACGACTATATATGTTAGAGATTAATTTTTCAAAAACTATTCGCTTTCCCAACGTATTTTACTATTTCGTACATACTATTTATTATTATCATACTATTTATTGAGTTCGGCTCGAGCCGGTGATAAGCACATATCGGCTCCACGTTTAAAGTAGAAAAAATTCAGGTAGCGTTTAAATTGGGGTTAAAAATAATCCGTTCGTCCGCAATGCTCTATGTTTTCATATGTTAGTTATTAGTATTTGATAGGGCCGGTTGTACAATTGGAGTTCAAGCTTGAACTGCAGTCAACCATGAAAATCATGAATGATTGACTGTATTTCAAGTTTGAACTTGACTGGAACTCCAATTGTTTAACTGGCCCTAAGTAATTTGATTATTGAGTTATCAGAAAAAAAAAGTAAGAAAATGGAAAGTTATACCGTCTAATCATTGCTTCAGTTATTCAGATAATTGCAAAAATAAAATGAAAGATTGTAATAAGTCTATAAAAAGTATATTTTGAAGAATTTTAAATCATACAGGAGGAAATTAAAATAAACTTTCTTAAACAATAGGAATATCTAAATGTATTTCAAAATTTATATCTACCAACACACTTCACTTATTTTCTTCCCTCACTCCTGTTTCAGTATGCCACGATGAAATTATTTGAGTCTAAGTAGGGCCTGTTTTAGATCTATGAATAAATAGCGAGAAGTTATTGCATTTTTTTCTCCTTTCTTAGAGACACTATAGAGGTTAATGATCCCCAATACAGACGACTGTTAAATTTTGTCGTGGGAAATAAAAATATGCCTTTACCTAGACGATTTATTTGAGGGCTAGTTTTGTGTGATCATACATACCCAACTCATATTCAAGCTGAATGGACATTACTGAGGTTATAGAGGGAATGGGATGAAGCAAGGAAGGATAGAAATTGAAGGAAATAGTCAAGTATGGAAGTCGAGCGAAATCAAGGAAGATGTTATAAACCCAATTATTTTCTCAATTGGAATTGTTCAGAATAATTTACGCTCTGAGTTTCGATTAATAGATTTGGAAAATATATCAGTAAGTTAATCAGTAGTGTAAAGATTTACATTAATTATCTCAACTTGTTTCAAGAATTATACCTCTCATCAACACCAGTTTCAGAAACTTTGTTAAACATGAACTTAGATATAATGTTTTAAAATTTCATTTTTAGGGAAGGCGATGAAGAAATGGGATTTATCTCCAACATATCTCGGTTCATCCTATCCGGATTGTCGATTTGGCAAAGGCATTCGCGATTTGTGATTCCATCTGCATTCGTATTATTATTCGGAGTCCTCATGTTGCTCTCTAACCTCCTATATACTATTCTCAACTACGACAACTTGAACTGGATAAACAAGGTTGTCGATTACGGATGGATCTCAGTTTACTTGACTGCGATCTATATCACCTTATGCCACAAGGAGGAAATAAAATCCCTGAGCAAGGAGCTGGATCAATGGTGGAAATATAACTGTCTAGAAAAAGAGACCACCCAGTTGAAGAAAAAATCTGAGGACTGGATGAGGGCTTTCAATGCTTATTATATTAATTGTGAGTATTTTTCTCTGATTCAAAATGAAATCTAAAATGTTAGCAATAAGTATTCCTGTAAATATCAACTTAGTGCTAAGTTTTTGGCTATTTGCTTTTCTAAGACAGGTAGCGTGTTCCGGAAACGGCATTTTATATCTGTTTATAATAAATATAAATCTATGTTTATATAAATCTATTTATATCTGTTTCAGAAGGTGATGATCTATTTAAAAAGTTATTAATTATGTGATATGTTATTTATTCAGTTATATGTTATATTCCTTATATATTATATAATTAATATATACATATATACATACTATATATACATTCCCTATATATTATGTTAGTGCTTCCTTGTCCACATTTAAAATCCGTAGCAACATAGTGAGGCACTGGATAGCCATGTAATACGCAACATGATTTAGTTTTTGATTTCTCACGTTTTATCTTTGAACATGCACTTAAATTTCCTAAGATATATTTTTACTGAAATTGAATTATTTATGTCATACTTGGTGTATTTGGTGTAGAGTATATACGTAAATTTTGTTTATCTCTATTCAGTAATTTTCTTCTTTTTTTTTTTATCGCTCATTTATATAAATTTACTCAAATATTTTTAGATGAAAGTAGTTCTTATTTTTTATCATTGCTATTAACAATTATATATTTTAGTAACAGATTTTGCCAACCTATTAGAGGAAACCTATTGTATTTTATTTTTCTTTGCCATTGATGGAAATATTTTAATAAACCTATGTTTTCTTAGCATTTTTCCAAATTTTTTTCTTTTGACCAGGAATACATTTTTTTTTTAATATAACTGCTATGCTATTCCTATTTCTATGTTTATACAGAATAAGAAAAGGCAAGATACCAAAGACTCCCCATCTGTGATATTATGATATACTCTTTTTAGATATTGCCCTATCAGAGGCTTATCTGCAATATTTCAATTTTTCTACACAGGCTGACTATTTATTTTTAGTCATTAAATATATTTCAACTCACATCAGCATACTCGATACATAGCATGAGTAAAATTAAATAGATTGATATGCAACTCAAAAAGTTATAAATCCACAATACTCAAATTTTGTATGCATTAACATTGTCCTAAGGTACTTATGGAATTAATGTACATCAGAAAGAGACCGACTTTTGATTTCAGTAGGGCAAGTACTATTAGTATGGGAATATGTATTGTTCGTGTATAATATATACACATTTTCTGCAAAATATTAGAATTTAAACATAAAATTATAATTGCTCTAGTTTTTATAAGATTGAAGATAAAATAATAAACTAATATATATTTTTGAATGAAATTTAATGTTGAACAACTTTCTTTCTCATTTAAACTACTTCTTCCTAAAATGGAAAAATAAAGAGTTCGCTATCCAAATAATGATATAAATGCGAGGCCAATATGTTTTTTTTTTTTTTTTTAATTGTTGAATTATGAGGACAGATATTTCAGAAACAGTACAATATAGAGAGAAAAAAATATTATAACCTATTATATTGCACTTTTGTCACCTTTAATTTTATATAGAACAAACATTATCACTAAACTTTTGAATCGTAAATTTAAATTTTCGACTTTAAATCCTCGGGCATGGGGTAACTGATTATTATTTCGTATTTGAAGATGGTTGATATTATAAATTTAAAGGGTTGGTAGCACTCTATCAATTCAGGCTCTCTATACACGTGGCTTTCTAGCTGCATATATTCTATCTATATTCGCCATTTCACCATTTTGTATTCTAGCGACTATAAGATCATAGACATGCATTATTCTTTTCAGGAATGTGAACATGGTAAAATCTAGTCAGGGGTCCCCTGAAGGAGTTATCATGGCGCAAGTTGCGCCATCAAAATTTTTGAGAGGGGCATATTTTGGCGGGTTAATGAACTATTAGGCGGGCACATTTCGGCGGAACTACGAATTTTTGGAATGAAAAGTTTCATAGTGGACAAGGAAAAATATGTAACAGACAGCAGAAAGTGTAATTTTATATGATCTACGATTTTTCTTATTTTACTTTCGTTTGATAGACTATATTTATGGTGTATATATTTATGGTGTGAATGTCATCCTACCTCACTATAACCAATGTCCAACAGACAGATTGTTATAATACTCAATAAAGAAATTAAAAAAAACAAAAAAAAAACCTTCGTTTGCTATGTTTTAAGAAAGGGTGAGCAATACAATATCTTGGGATTAGGAAATAGGTTATTGCACCATCGACCTTGGGAGGAAACCCCTGAACGTTGTTATGAAGGAAGCCACCCTTTTTTTTTTTCACTCAAATGGCCTTTACTGGATACCTGACTTTAATTAATACTTCAATTGAAGATAGGTGACCAACTGAAGTAGTGATTAAATTTCCAATATTGATTAAATTTTAATCAAATACTTGTAGAAAGAGTAGTTTAGCATAACATCGCTTTGGATCTTGCTGAATATCTTTATAATAGTTAAGTAATCTTCCACCTTACACTTATGTATTATTATTTTCAATCAATTAAATATTGTTGGGAAGAAATGAGGAGTTTTTTTTTTGTTTAGGCTCAATCATAAGTTGGACTTTCTACGTTCTACTACCCGCAGCCAAATTCTTCTATAAGGGCCCGAAGCAGAGAGGCGACGCCCTTATCTTTGCGGCCTGGACTCCATTCCCGCTGAACACGATTTGGGGATACTGGATCACCTACGGCTTCGAGGTATTGATGATGGCCTTTGCCCAATGTGTTTACTGCCAACTCTTCCTACTCCTGATGACCTTTGCTATTGTTATTGGACATCAGATGAGGCTTGTTGGCACTGCATTCCTGACCATCTTTAAAAGGATCAATATGATGATGAATGATATAGAAATTGGAAGCAGGAAGGAATATTATGAAATCAGAGATGTTCTACTCGCTGGAGAATTGAAAAACGGAGTAATGCACTTTCAGCACCTTTACAGGTAACCATTCAATCATAATACAAATTATTGGAGAGTGGAGACGGCGGTCCCCCGAATCACTTTGGAAAATCCTCCAAAACTGCTGTATTTTCGCACTTTTCCCATTTTATTCATGATGCAGTTCGTTTTAAACAAATAACACAATATATATATATATTTTTTTAACTAGATTAAATATGCTACAATATAAGAGTATAACAGGATAGGTAAAACAAACAATTTACGAGATACAGGTTTTCAAAGTTTGGAAAATTTTATTTTCTATTTAAATTATTTTTCATGTTTGATTATATGCAATCCCCTTTTATCTTTAATAAACTGTCTGATATGAGTCAGTGAAGTAAATATTTATTCATTTAAATATTTTGAAGGAGGGGTAATGGAGGGAAGGAATGGTTTGGTGTAGTGTTGCCCAAAATTGGTCTCGGTCTTGCAGTCTTGGTCTTGGTCTTGCACTTTTGCAAGACTAAGACCAAGGCCAAGACCACATAATTGTTTGCAAGACCAAGACCAAGACTAGACCCTGCAAGTCTTGCAGGTAAGTCAAACTGAGACTATTTTCAGATATAGTATGGTGCTTCAACATTTTAATCATCTATTCTAAACAGCGTTGGTTTTTCTTGTGGAATTGTATATTTGAGTATAGCTTTCCAAATAATAGTAAAAAAGTAATCTTTTTTTTTGTTCTCCCCTACCTCACCATTTAGGTTGCAGGGGGGTATCGCGGACCAGAGAGGTCCGGAGATTAATGGCGGAGTTAAAAGAACTCAAAATTATTTTACTGTCTCCAACTTCGGTTATCAGGTTGCCGAGCAACGAGCAGTGCTGTGCACACTCGTTAGTCCGCTCGGCCACCCCCCGAGAAATTCTGTAATATTCACTCTGAGATCTCGAAAATGTATTGTCAGCTCAAAGATCCAGCGGAAGTATAATTGTTCGAAATGATTGTGCGAACGCAGGAGGGTTAAGACACAAGCCGGTTTTGTTAAGACACAAGCAACTATATGTTACTGCAACAACGGCATAAATCGAAAGGAATTATTTTTTTTGCATTATAATTTCTGGGTTTGGCCCGCTGTTCACAGTATTCGTTATTTCTTTAAAATGTCTAACCACCAAGTTTTAATCGAGTGTATAAATTGCGAATACTGAGCTTTCTGACACACTCATTAATAACATAACTTTTTCTTTGAAATTTGACCGGAACCATGTTGACATATTACAATAAAATCAGTAGAAATAGCAACAAAGGGTTAAGACTCAAAATTCTATTTCAAAACCCGATTGCCTGTATTCATAATGGAACTAAGCTACAATATAGTGGATTAATGTTCTCAGAATATGAGCTTCATAATTTTCTTGCGTATAGTGATTCCTAACAACTGGATTTTTTTGTTCATAATTCTAAACTCCATTATTTTTCATCAGATTTCCTTGTTTCGTCGTTTTATAGCAACACTACTATATATACCCTATTATGTGAGCAATGGATATATTATCAAAAATAATATATGAAAATAAATGACATTGTGGTAGATCGCGTGACATATCATATTATAATATTCAATGGTTTTTTCGAGCATTAGAAATTCTTGTTTTATTCAGCTAGTAAATACGTTATGTATATGTATATATTAAGATATTATACTTTATGTTTTTTTTTTTATCTTGATAAGTTTGAAATTGGTTCATTCTACTGTTAAACTAGTTTCTCAAAAACTGATAATTTTTTTATTACAAATTTCAGATAATGCCAATATTATTAGACTTTCCGCTTGCAAAATAATATTTTCATTTTTTTAATACTTATACATGAAACAGGATTCAGAATTTTAACATAAATTTAGTATCAAATTATTTTATCTTACCTTATATTTTAAACGCTTTTGTGGACACGTATCGGTTAATTCTCGTCCATGAATTGATCTTTATTTCCCTTATAGTTCTTCATTCTTATAATTGATAATTTTGTTACTGTATATCCTACCTTTTTTATTTTATTTGATATATAACGTATGACACAGAACTACATTAACGCTTATTGTTAATCTGGTCATGATAGTTATTATCAGGAGTGCCCATCTCCCCAAGGCCGATGGCGCATGTCCCTCCCCTAAAAAAAAAAATATGAATGCCCCTCTCACTTATATAATTAATATGTATCTATATGAGTTGTAATTTGAATGTTAGTTTAAAAGATAGTAGATATAATATTGGTTTGTTTCTCCAGAATATTAAAGGTACAATACATGAGGCAATTACAATCAACAAGTAACATCAGTAATATTTAGAGGAAGCAAGGCTCTCCACTACCTTCTTCTCCGAAAGAAGATGCCAGGAATTCATTATTATTTTGTTTTAAAATATTTTTCCTTTTAAATGAAAATTTTATCTGAAATAATTGCGAGAGCTTTGTCAAAAGGTAGTACATTATTTTAAAATAGGGGGGAAGGGCAATCAATTTTAAGCTGGAGAAATTGGTTTTTATTTCCTGATTAGTTTATTTTAGAATGTTGAAACGACCTGTCACTGATGATAACATTTCATATGTTATTGTTTTGTTGCTACATTATTTTAAATTTTTTTTCTGTGTCTATAAATAAAACATGTAAGTGCACTTATTTATTAGCGTTTTTCTGAGATTTAAAGTAACATAATTAATAAATAATGATAAGCTGATAGGTGACTGCAAGACTCAGGCGCAAGACCAAGACCAAGACCAGGACCGAGTGCGCAAGACCAAGGTTTGTTGAACGTTTGGGCAACACTAGCTCTGAGGACCCAGAAGATCATGGTTTTGTATTTATCTGTATTGTACTGTTGAAGAGCAAATTTACTATATATTTAAGTTCCTTGAAGCCACTTATATATATATATATATATGGGTATATATAGTCCTGATAAGGGGGCCACGCTTCAGACTCCTGCCGATGGCTCCATGTGGAGCCAGACCGGGCCTGTTCGTAGGATTTGCTTTTTGTTAGTTATAACATTATATGATCAAATACGCATAGAATATATGTGCCTCTGTTATTTATTCACCATAAACGTAGCTTTTGATAGCATGTTGTAATACCAAAAAATAAATTTGAGAAAAATCATGTGAATTTCAATTAATAATGCTATAAGTAAAATTTTATCGTTGTAACTAAAATTAAAATTATTGTATAGCAGAATCCACATAATTTAGTGTTTCGCAATTCTTATTGGAACAAAAATTAAATTATTCTCTAATTTGCTTGTTTTCTTTCAGATGTGCGTATCGGCTTTCTAGAATTTTCTCGCCTATGACAAACGTAACCTATCACGGAGGCATGTGGGTGATGTGTTCAATAGCAGTCAAGGCCGCAACTGTAAGTATTTTAAAGTAATTATATTATTATGATGGCGCTAGGGTCCTGCAAGAACCAGTGCCTCCTCTACTACAGCCAACCAATTTCCACGGTCTTGTGTTACTTCCCTCCATCTTCGAACGCCCAGCCGCCTCAGATCGTCCTCCACATCCTCCAGCCATCTAATCCGAGGGCGCCCACTATTTATTTTGCCATCCGGCTTCTCATGCATCTTCTTTGGCATACTTTGATATCTGATATTCTTTCCACATGATCTAACCATCTGGTTCTAGCTCTTTTTATCAATGCCACCGTATCAGATTTACAATTAAGTTCCTGCAGCTCCTTATTCTTTCTTCTTCTCCAAATTCCATTGTCAAAGATGCCGCCTCATATTCTTCTTAATACTTTTCTCTCCCAGGACTAAAGTATAAAAGTAAGTATGAGAAGGAGTTGATCGGGGGATGCGGTCAATAAATACTAAATTAAACAAATAGTATTATTTAATTTTTGCCGACGTTTCGATCCACTTTGCAGGTCTTCATCAGGGCGAGGATGTAGCACTGCGGGAGGCAGTTGAAATACTGCCAGTGTTTCAACTGCCTCCCACAGTACATCCTCGCCCTGATGAAGACCTGCAAAGTGGATCGAAACGTCGGCAAAAATTAAATAATACTATTTGTTTAATTTAGTATTTATTTGACCGCACCCCCCGATCAACTTCTTCTCATATTATATCAACGGTCAACCATCTCTACATCATTATAAAATTAAGTAAAATATGCAATCTTATAAATGTAATTATAAGCTCTAGATAATATAGTACGGTTGAACATGTAAATCCTCCAAATAAAATAAATTAATATTTTCAAATATTAAACCCTAAAAATAAATATAGATGCATAGCAGACCGCTAAATCAGCCTCAGATATTATAAAAGGAATTTCTTTAGATTTCTTTAAACCTCGCAAAAAAACGCAGTATTTACTACTTTAAAGAAGTGAGAGAGAGCAGTTTATTCTCAATCCTTTAAATATTGCTTGATTTGTTACACTGCAATCATTTAGCGAAATTTTATTCGTAGTTTCCGCATTTTCTATGTAACTACTTAAGTACTTGGGTAATATTCTTCTTAAAATATTAAGTAATATTTTAAGAAAACTATTACACAAGTTTGTGGGAATAACATAGATAATTTTTATTATGTTTGCATTTCCATAAGCATGAAATAGGCGTATGAATCGTAAATTTATACCACACATTATAAGCTGACAATCAGAACACCATTAAACACAGAGTAATGGTTTCAAAAAATATGTTGTCGTCTGTAAGTAGTACGTTTTTTTATTTTACAAGATGTTCAGGACTTTACAACCACTTGGGTCATTTTTGCCCTATATTACATTTTTAAGCAATATGTCGCCCATATGCGAGATATTGGTCTTGCGCACTCAGTCTTGTTCTTGGTCCTGGTCTTACGTAAGAGTCTTGCAACAGTTTTTGCAGTTACCTATTAGCTTATTATTATACTGTAATGATTCAGAATCGGGAAACCAAACTAAGCCTGAATGAAAACTTGGAAGAACTAAATGTAAAAACATAGTGGTTCCATCTATTCTTTACATATAGTAACCAAAATTGTCTAATATTTGTAAATTATAAGTGCATTTATAAATATTATATAATTTGTCTAGGAAATGACTTTCGTAGTCATGTTGCAAGCATTCATGATGATCAGTACAGTAATATTGAGTCAATATGTCTACAGTTTGGTTAACGAGTGTCTAATAGAGGAGGTAAGGACTATTAACATTTTTAAATATTTCGTATTATTTTTATTGTGAACTTATTATTTTATGATATTTTTTTAGGTTCAAAAACTACGTAACGTAGCCTACGATTCACCTTGGTATGAAATGCCTATCAAAATTAGGAAAGCATTTCAAATATTTCAAAGTATGCTTGACTCTGATAGATTTCCGACTTTACGAACAATCTTGGGAAGCCAGACTAATATGGAAAATCTAAGTAAGGTAAATATGAAAACTATTTCTTGTGAGAAAAGATTTACATAATAAATATTATAATATTAAATATATTATAATATTAAATAATAAATTCGTGCAGAGGTTTTTAGTAATTATATGGTTTTTATTTGCTTTACCTAAAATTTTTACTCGCATTGGATTTTATCTTATTCCCTCTCTTTATCGTATAATTTCCGTTTTTGTTTCAACTTTTTTACCAGAGCAGATTTTATTCAAGCAAGCTAAGATATGAAAATAAGGAAAATTGAAGATAAATAGATGTCAGTTTAACTAGGTATTTGCACTTGTCAGCAATCAAATTTACAGAAGTTCAATAAAAGTGAATTAATAAACCGGTAAAATTAGTACTCCAACAACATTATATATTTATATATGGAAGAAAGATAGTTGGGGAGATGGAAAAATAATTGGCGTTTCAGTAACATAAATATGTTGTTTACGAATGGAGGTGGGTAAGAGATTCCAAAATAAAGAAACATCTTTGATGAAGGATATTTTGAAGGGAACAGTTTATATTGTAAACTTATATTATAAAACATATTATAATAAATATTTGTATTTAATGAAACTATTTTTCAGGTGATAAATGCATCTTACTGTTACTTCAGTATGTTAATTACAATAAAATCGAGATATGAAACTACTTCAACCTCAGACTTGTAATTTATAAGCATTAGTAGTTTAGGAGCTTTAAATGAAATTTATTCTCAATATTCACTGCTTTTGAAATTAAATATTTAATAAAGGAATTTCGTTTGTTTACCTCTTATCTTTATGAATTGTAAACGCACCAACACACAAATATGTTAGTAATTATTTATGAATGAATAATTTAATATATTTTTATTATTCTCAATAAAAAATAGTGTACGTTATACGAGGTACCTCACCTTTATTTATTTCAAACCTATTCAATATCTCACAAATATCCAGGTTGTTTAAGCATCGTTAAAAATTGACTTATCACAGTTTCCTTTTATTTTTTATTTATCATAACTTAAAATTTAAAAAAATATAATAACTGCTTTCTCATCTTTAAGAAGAAAAAATGTTTAAATAATAAAATTTTAACTCGCTACATTAATTATAAAGTAATTTTAAAAAAATTAGATGAAATAAGTTTCTTTAAATAATAAATTGAGCCTCGTTTCTAAACTAACAGTTACAACGGCAGTTGCACTAAAAGCAGCAACTGTCAAACCCTCTGTCATGACAACAATTTTCACAGCCGTACTTACTAGTACAATGGTAGCTACGGTCACAGTCATGTCAGAACTTGTAGTATCTACAGTCATGATGTAAATGGTAACTGATATTATCAGCCTTCGGAGTACTGCCGCACTATGAGATGTTATGTGATAGATGACAGTTATAGATGACTTACAGTAAACTGTAACGCTTAACTATCCATAAAGAAGAACAATAAAAAGACATTTACTATACGGGAAAACATTCTTCTCTTATATTGTATCATAAGTGCCGTACAAAACTGCTTTGCTGTTCCGCATAGTGATTGAAAATCGACTTGTTTTAGAAAACCTACTATTCTCAATCCATGAGCCAAACGAATATAATTTTGATGCCATCTCAATCAAAATTAAATTTGCTTTAAGCTAAATATTGTCAACTGTTCTTACCATGGACGAAATAGGTGATATTGTGAGGTATCTTATGGGAAGAAAAAAAAATCAAACGATTTCCAACATTTCGAAAATTTTATGATTTTCTTGAGTTAGCAGCTTATTGCAGGATAAATTCTTGATCCTCTATCGATGAAATATTTGGTTTTAAAATAAAAATAAAAATTAAATCAGTCATTTAGGTTATTTTTTTTTTTTTATCATTACTAAGAGACAAACCAACATATAGGATGTTTCAGGGTTAAGTGACCAAACTGCAAAAATGAACTAAGGACATAAAAAAAAAAGAAAAAAAAAATCCTCTAAAGGTATATCCGGAAACGCTTTGTTTAGGAGATATTCACACCTCATGATTTTCGTTGTTATGAATTATTTACGTTAAATGAAACAAATAAAATCTATTTATTTGTTCCTTCTACTTTACTCATTAAATGTAAACATTCATATTAAATGCTGTTCAAAGCACAGGCGGATCTAATGGGAGCTTTCGGGCTGAAGCCCCCCTCTCCCCACCAAAATGGTAAAATATAATCATGTTTTATAGAAAAAAATATTATAAACTATCTCTTAAAGGATTATTTTTCGTGTAATTACATTAAATAGGACTTCAAGAATCACTTAAACACCAGATCATATTTAAACACCAGGTAGTTAGTTCTTTTTCTTTTTTTTTTCAAATTAATTATCGATATATATATATGAAAAAAAAAACTTTCGTGCTGAAGCTCCCTCAAAAATTAAATCCTGGATCCGCTTGTGGTTCAAAGCGATTTCCTTCAGCATTAAGACAGGCTCATCATCTTTCTTCAACAGCAGCAGTGAGAGAATGGCACTATTATTGTGAATGGAAAGCATAATGATGAGTACTCTGCGAAAGCCTCTTACAAGCTGATAAATGTTATTGAATGTGCCCAATACTAATTCCAAATTGTATTAATCCTTATGTTGCAAATAGTTTTAATCACTTGCAAATACAGATCAATTCCTATAATATAGATCTTGGTGAAGAACACAGTTATAAAAAAAAAAATCTGTGTTTAGGCAATGAGATTTATTATAATACACCCCTGATTATGAAAAAACAGTAAATGAAAGCTTTGCAACAGGTAATTTTAGTCATTTGTGCTGAAAACAGTGTTACTTTTACTTGAGTGATAAAATAAAACTTTCTAGTCCTAAAATTTAGGTTTACAATAAATAAAAGAAAACCTGCTGATTGCTTCAATTATTTTAATTAAACCGCTGATATTAGCATCAGGCCTTATAAATATATATACCAGCATTGTGCCACTTATAAATACGGACCGATTCATATAATAGAGGTCTGGGTGAAAACAACACTTTATAACCGATTTACCGGGAAAATATGTGATAAATCAGTATTTTTCAAATTAATTTTTTTTTTATAAATAAAATGTGTCTTTAGGCAATTGGGTTTATTAAAATACATCACATAGAAAAACAATAAATTAAAACTTTGCAGCAATGAATTGTTGTAATTTTTGCTGAGAACAGGGTTACTTTAACTTAACGGGATAAAAAAATATCATTTTTTTACAAAACTTGAGCTGAATCTCAAAATTTTTTCGAATAAATCTCAGCTTAATTAACACGAATTTAAAGCTTATTAAACGTAGAAGTTTTTTTTTTTAAAGTGGGGTAACAGTATTTCAGTTGAATGTTGATAATAATAATAATAATTTATAATTTATAATTTATTATTTTTATATAATTTATGATTTTTTAAAAAACAAAACATAGCTTAGTTTAGCCGCTCATAAGTCCTTTGTAAATGGTTTTAAAAATGGTCAACTCTATGTTAGTTTAAAGCGCGGGTGGATCTACGGGAGGGAGGAGGGCTTTCGGGCTGAAGCTCCTCCCCTCTCCCAAAATGGTAAAATATAACCATGTTTTATGGAAAAATATATCAAAAAATCTTCTCTTAAAGTATTATTGTTCATGCAATTACATTTAAAAGGACTTAAGGAATCACTTAAACACCATTTCATATAGATAGTTAGTTTCTTTCTTTTTTTCCAAAGTAATTATCGTCATCTTCATGAAAAAAAAATGCTTTCGGGCTGAAGCCCCCTCCCAAAATTAATTCCTGGATCAGCTAGTGGTTTAAAAAAAATTTCATCTTGTTTACAATGAAGTAATTATTAATTACTTCAATTAAATATTTCTTTAGTTAGTGTTTTCCATTCAACAAAACATACGGCTACTTAAAAAAACACAAAACTTGGATTTCCTATATTTCTGTTGGAAATTGGCCCGTTGTTTACATGAACTTTTTTGTACCTCTCGAGGTCTCATATCACTCCTCTAAAATTTCTCTTTACTTACGGGATACCCTGTATATTGGGGTTTAATTAAATAAATGATGTAGCATGTGTGATATTTTGTTAAATTTATTTTATTAGTGAACTTTAGAACTCTAGAAAATATATTTTAATTTTAAAATATAAATATAATTTAAAAATTTAAATATATAAACTTCATTATGATACAAAAGTCTTTATTAGAGACCACTCATCCTAACGGACGAAGAAATCCAAACTCTTATGTTTTAATTAATAAGTTTCATTTATTTATTTTTTTGGAAAAAATTGGTAAAATTGTAGAAAAAAGTTGAGGAAAAAATAAATAAGGGTCTATGGTGTTCTACCAATCATTGTCCGAGGTGTAATGTTTTATTTTTTAATCACTGATAAAAGCTTTGTTACTAGATATGGGGCACTACAAACAGTGGATCAAATGTAGCCAAAAACATTAACTTACTTGAAACTCGAATTTAAATCTAAAACTAAATGCACCCGTACATTTTACCTTGACAGTATATCTAACTCAATTCCGCATTTGTCGTTTTGATCTAAGATTAGTATTTGATAGATAAGTTGATATATTGTTTATACTAAAAATATAGTTCGTTATATAATATTACGTATTTGCAAAATTTATAACTTATATCTACCTGTTTACGACACTTCATACTACCATTTTGTAAGTGTATTCTTTGAATTCTAATATTATTTAGCAGTTATGAAAGTAAACAGTTTAAAGTCGTTTAATTGAAAATAATTCTAAAAAAATTTTCAGAACAATTTTTGATGAACTGAAATAAGATCTGCTAGTCTTCAAAGCCCACGGATGACTGCTGTATAAAATATTCAAAAAGGAAGGTAACCATTACATCCACTCACGTTGGAAACATTAGATATTATGTATGACAATATTATAGGGTCCTTCCATTATCAACTTTCCATGAACAAGCCTTCAAAAAGCATTCGGAGTTTCATTATTTATCATAGTCAGACGTAGTGCTATATATGGAATAAAACATTTATTTTACCAGTCAGTTCAACATCTCAACTTAAGCTAACGTAATTATGTAGGTTGTTTATATTATTCGATAAATTATTTAATATTTTCCTAGCAATACTTCCTTTCTTTATTGATATATGTAAAAATACATTAAGGTTTTCAGGCATTAAAAAAAAAAAAACGTGACTATCTTATGAAAAACACAGAATTAGGCTTAAAACCTTTTCCGTTCGGAACTGACCCATGCATCAAATGAACGTTTTTGTTAGAAGTTTTGTCTAGAATCCTCCCTACCCCCCCCCTCCCCCCGGAGTTTGGCGATTAAGAAATGCGATTCCTAGACAACTGTAAGGCAGTTAGGAGGTAGTTTTGATACTTTTACTAAATGAAAAAAAATATATATCATCTATTGGCATTTTCATAACCTTATGTTGCTTCCAGCGTGTCGATTCGAATCCGGCATGGGCGGAATGATATTTATTTTATGACAGACCCAGGAATGTATCACGTCCTTCACCTGTTCAAAATATATAATATATCATCCAGTTCAGAATATAATAGTTATGCCTGTCCACTAACCTTCCCTCCTTCCACCCTTCTGCAAGAAATGGCCAGGTAAAGAGAAAAAAGAGATTGTGTTCTTATACTTGGAGGAGAATCAATCATTAATAATTGATTATTGTTAAATATTTCGCTTAA